TGCTTTAAGTTTTAGTAGATTTAGGGTTGAGTTGTTTTTTCCTCTTTCATTATTTTTAATTGACTATTTTCTAGAAGACACCAACAGCCCAGTGAGATACTGGCTTCAGCTTCACTTCGACACGTTCATTTCTCCCTGATTCTTCAAACTGGGATCCCTCTGACAGCTATCTACTGCAGGAGAATAAATCTTATTGATTTCTACGTTTAGCAGCCGGCCTGAAGCTTTCCACTGAAAACAGCTGCTTGTTGCTACTGGAAACCTGCTGAAGCTTAACTATAAAAAGGTAAAAGTGCATGAAACCAAAATGTCACAGTAATAGGTGATCTCCAGGAAGAGGATTATTTCCCATTTCATCTGTAAAGCAGCTGAAAACACAGCGGGATCCTGGCACCATCTGATTCACCACACCTGAGCTAATACAGGGCCTTCTAGCTGCAAAGCATCAAAAAGAGAATAAATCCAATCAGGTATTACTATTTCATCGATTACATGCTTGACTCATCTGTTTAAATAGAATACGTGACAAAATAAAAAGAAAGCTTGTTCTGTTAAGTCAGAGTTGTGCGTTAAAACGTGCGTCTTGGCTTTTACACCGCCTAGCATAATTGATTTGATTGTTTTTATTGCTGCAATTGATAGCAGAGCAGCTTTTACTGCAGTCAGATGAAAGATGGGCACGTTTTAGAAAATCCGATCCGACTGCAGCGCGCGTTAAACTCCAGATGAATTACAACAATTGACCACAGTCTTCTGCTATTCTTGGCGTGGCAACATTCCAGTCATTACAGGGTGACTGGAGCTCCTCGGCAGTTTTACCCAGCGCTGTAGTCATAAGCACGCTGTATTTATTCCTGTGATGTAGTGCCTGGTCAACACATTTAACCAGATTAACATGCAGAGACCTTCCTCTTGCACACACTGACGGGGTATCCTTTTCTCCTCCTTCTCACCAATAAAGAGAGAGGTTGCATTTTGAATCAATTACAGCAAAAACCCCTCAGAAGAGCCAACTCAGCTATTTCCCAGAGAGATATAAATAGAGTGGGGAGAAAGAGGTGAGGAGCAGCCCTTCTCACTCTCTCTCTCTGCCTCAAACACTCCAGTTTCCTGCTTTTCTCTCGACTTTCCTGGTTATTCCCAACAGCAAACAAAACGAGAACGCAGCTAGCACGCCTTGTTGGTTTAGTATATAAAAATAAAGCCTTTTAATTCATTTAGTTGCGTTTATTAAATGAAAACTGATCACGTTTAAAAGAAACACCCACAAACATTTTGTTTAGGCATCAACGCTGGTCTGAACTGATGGCATTTGCAGATTAGATTAAATGAAATGTATTGATCGGTGGGGAAGTCTGAGGGGAAATTTGACATTTCGAGCTATATTTGGGATTCCGTCCGTCTATGAGCCGCTTAAGGGTGCCGGAGCCAGCTGGCATTTGGGGAAAAAGGCATCTGGACAGGTCCTCAGCCCATCAGAGGGCTAGCAGAAAGACAAGCACTCTCAACACTTATCCTGCAGTAAAAAGGATTCGTTTAACACTCGTGTGAACCCGGTGGCGGCTAAAACCAGCCACTGATCTGGACTCTGATGAGCCAGCGTTGATGGCCTGTGACAGATAAAACTATTTCTCTTATGGCCAACCTGCAGCCAGTTGCCTCATCCTTCAGCTGGAGCTCCAAATGTCACCCACAGTGGTATGAAAAACTATCTGCCCCCTTCCTGATTTCTTATTCTTTTGCATGTTTGTCACACAAAACGTTTCTGATCATCAAACACATTTAACCGTTAGTCAAAGATAACACAAGTAAACACAAAATGCAGTTTTGAAATGATTGTTTTTATTATTTAGGGAGAGAACTAAATCCAAACCTACATTGCCCTGTGTGATTAAGTAATTGCACCTGAACCTAATAACTGGTTGGACCTCTCTTAGCAGCAATAACTGCAATCAAGCGTTAGCGATAACTTGCTACGAGTCTTTTACAGCGCTCTGGAGGAGTTTTGGCCCGCTCATCTTTGCAGAATTGTTGTAATTCAGCTTTATTTGAGGGTTTTCTAGCATGGACCGCCTTTTTAAGGTCATGCCATAGCATCTCAATAGGATTCAGGTCAGGACTTTGACCAGGCCACTCCAAAGTCTTCATTTTGTTGTTCTTCAGCCATTCAGAGGTGGATTTGCTGGTGTGTTTTGGGTCGTTGTCCTGCTGCAGCACCCAAGATGGCTTCAGCTTTAGCTGGCCAGCA